ATTATTTCAAAGGTAGAAACACAACTGAAACACCAAAAAAAAAAGATTTGTGCAGTGTGTAGAAAAGGTGCTGTGACTAATCGAACATGTCAAAAGTGGTTTGAGAAGATTCATGCTGGAGATTTTTTGCTTGACAATGCTCCATGGTAGGAGAGACCAATAAATATACTGCTGGAAGTTAATAGCAGTCAAACTGAGAAATTAACTGAGAACACTTAAATGTTACACCACATGGGAGACAGCTGACATAAAGTATCCAAATCAATAAAGTTACTGGTCAAAATGAAAATGTGTCATTATTTAAGGAAAAAAAAATACTGACCTTTTGGCCAACCCAATATTTATCTATCTGTAGTTTTCCTTTTTTAGTACTATCTTTGACTAGTTTTGGTACTATTTTTAATTCCTCCTTTTCTGTTTTCTGGAGAGACTGGGTAGGATATCTGTTCAATATCCTTTAAACACTGATTGAATTCTCCAGTGAAACTATCTGGGCCTAGAGACTTATTTTTTGGGAATTTTAAAATGACAAATTCAATTTCCCAAACAGTTAGAGGGTTATTCAGGTTATTTATTTTATGTTGGGCTACATAATAATAATTTGTATTTTTGAGGAAGTGGTTTATTTTGTTTAAGTTGTCAAGTTTACATGTGTACAGTTATTTACAGTATTTCCTAATCATCCTTTGATGTCTGCAGGGTCTGGAATGGCATCATCTGTTTTACTACTAATAATGATCATTTGTGTTTTCTCTCTTCTTCCAGTTCACTGATTCTTTTTTTGTCCCCGCCACCCCCCCCCCGCCAGTCTGATGCTGAGCCCATCTACTGAGGGTTTTTTTTTGTTTTTTTCTTGTTCTTCTCTAGGTTCGAAACTTGCCACAAGTTCTTTAAATCTCTCATTTCACTGAGAAGACTTTCTATTTCTTTGCAGAGATATTCCATGTTTTCATTTGCTTCAGGTGTGTTCGTTGTTGCTCACTGAAGCACTTTTATGAAGACTGCTTTAAAATCTCTGTCAGATAATTCTAAAACCTGTCACCGCAATGTTAGCATTTATTGGTTGTCTTTTCTCACTTGAGATTCCCTGGTTCTTTGCATGATGAGTGATTTTCTATTGAAACCTGGATACCTGGGGTATCACATTATCAGACCCTGAATCTCACTAAGCCTATGGTTTTAGCTGGCTTCTTCTGACACCACTCTAGCAGAGTAAAGGGGAGATGCCACCTAATCACTGTTGCGGGGAGGCAGAGTTCCCTCCTCTTATTAATCCATGAGGGGTGTGGTAGGCCTCCTCATTACTCCTTAGCAGGGTTTAAAGTCCTGGTTCCTCAACTAGGCCTTCACTGATACTACCCACTGGCTGGGTGAAGCAAAAATACCTCATTACTGTTCCCCCCATGGCATCACAGACACCATGATGGGGATGGATTCAATCCTACATGGTAGTGAAAGTTCTGACTCTCCACTAAGGCCTCCTTTGAAAGTACCCAAGTGGGGAAGGGAAAAAGTGTCTCACTGTGAATGGAACAAAAGTCCACATTCTCCCATGTGGTCTTTACTGATATCACCTGGTTGGAACGAAAGCCTTGGCTCCCTACTTAGCCTCTGACACCACATCGCTGGGAGGTCAATACAACCTGGCAAAGGTAGAAATCAAGGTTTCCCACTTGGCCTTTGCTGGCATGGTGAGGGCAGGGCCAGTTTCTTCTGTGGTGTTGAGCTGGAGTACAATTGATTAATAGCCTGACAATTTTGGTCTTGCTAGTCTGCCCCTTTCCAGGTTCTTTGGCAGAGAGAACACAAACTGTTAAAGCTTTCTGCATGTGCCTAATGATGCAGGTTGCCGGCTACTTCAGCTCAAGTTGGTATATATATGAGGCAAAAGCTAAACTTAAGGAATTCAACATCATGTTCCTTCGGTGCCAAGGTCCCTAATCAGTCAATCTCCCTCTCTCCACATTTCAGAGTCTTATTACATTTGCTTTATATAAAATTTCTATGGTGTTTAGTTGTACTTAGCTAGAACAATAGGGAAAAATACATCCACTCCATCTTCCTAGACAGGAAGTCCTTAACTTGTTTATTAAACAAGTTGTTTTAATAACATTAAGCATTTTTATAACTATAACTTCTTCCTTTGTGGCAGGGTTCTGATCATTCCACTAAAACATAACATTATTTGATTATTAAATTACATTTTGTTGTCAGTACCTTGCACTTTTAGCATTTGTATTTTTTGGAATCTCTCCCTTTAAAGTAAACAACTCAATGGGATACATTTCCGCAACTACCACCACCCCTTCAATAGCTGTGTTTGGTTTGAATGTTAATAAATTTGATCAAAAGATTAAGTAAATATATCAATTCTTAAGACAGTAATGAAGGCAGTGGTAATGTTTTAAAATATTCATTTTCAAAGATGTCTCAAGTTTATTAATAGAGGAAGATGTCTAATAATGTAAGATTTTTTACTAGAGCTAGTCCAGTACTATATGGATTTCTGGCTAACTTTTTCTTTCAATTTCTAAATTTTGAATTTTTGGTTTAAATAAAGTATAAGCTAATGTCCACCTACATATCTCATAAGGCTCTTAGCTCAAAAACATTTTGAGTAATTATATGTAACTTGTCGCATTTTTTGTGATCCATTCACCTCCTTGTATTTTCCTATATTACATTCAAGCATTCGACCAAAATATATCAGTCACTACTCTCCCTACCCTGTTACATGCCAAGCAATGCTCTAGGGTCTAGAAATACCAATGTGAACAACACCAACACTGTCCTACTTATACATTCTTCTGAAACTTCCTGAGAAAGTGATATATCAAAGCAATGCTTCTCAGCCTTTTCTGCCACATACCCCCCAAGTATGAGGGAGCCCAGAGAAATCAGAACAGAACATAGTATTCTCAATTTAAAAGTTTCCTGATTTATCCTTAAAACTGGAATGAATATTATTAGCCATGATAGATATCCACATTTAATTTCAATTAAAAAAACACCTCCCCTCAGAAATAATTGATTAAATCAAATGTAGCAATTTAATATAACATGAAAGAAAAACATGTGGCATTCCTACTGTGGTTTCTAGACCTCTGACCCACCTAGACCCCATTCTACTCAGAGAACAATTCTTTAACACATTGTATAAAAACAGCAATCCCACATGTACCTCTCTTGGCATTCATGACAAACTGAGTCATAATTTTCTTCACAGCACTTACCATAAACTGAAAATTTATGCTTATATGATCGTTGTCTGACTCTTCCCCACTAAAATATGAGCTCCTTAAGGGTAAAAACTGTATTTGGTTTACTCCTGTATTCCCATTACTCAGAACAGTACCAAACATAATCAGCATTCAATAAAGACTGTTGGACATTTATTTAATAAACAAATGAGAATCATATGAATTCTCACTTTTATTTCTTAAGAAAGCTCCTATATTTTATGTATCTTCAGAATGTGTTTCTATTATAAAATATTAAAGTTTTAAAAATAACCTATTTCAGCTTTCCTACTCCTGATAAACATTTTATTCAAAAATGTAGCCCGTAAAATTTTCTTCTCTCAGAGCTCGAAATTTTTATCCCCTATTTTAATGTTCCCTATGTTTGTTAGCACATGTTTAAAACATTCTCTGGCAGTCTTAAAAATCCTTTGCATAATATTTAGCTGGGAAAGGAGAAAAAAAGATGTAAACTATAGGTGAAGCAGCTGACTGGACGGATGTTGAGAAAGAAATCAGGTGATATTGGAGATGACACCATCAGCTTTGCTAATGGAGCAAGTGAGAAACAATGACTGTATTCTACCATCCCCCCGCTGATCACTGAAGGCTGATTACCAAGCTGACTGTACAGGTCTCCCTTTCCATGCCTTAGTTACTGAACTACTCACTTTAAGATTATCTGCGTACTTTGAATTACTAAATTGACAAACTCTAGACCTGCTCTATCCACATCAATAGCCACGAGCCACATGTGGCTACTGACCTCCTGAAATGTGGCTAAAATTACTGAGGATAGTAATTTTCAAAATTTTATTTAATTTTCATTTAAATGTAGAAGCAGCACTTAACACAAGCTTTATGTTTTGGTAGAACTACATTGCACTTTAACCGCTAAATCGCAAAAATTATTACTGTATTTAGTGCACATATACTTCTTACTTTTAATGTAGCTATCAGAAAATTTTTAATTATGTGTGTGGCTTGCATCATATATTTATTGGACAGCACTGCTCTAGAACAACAGTCCATAACTGGGAACTGTTTTGTCCCCTAACAGACATCTGGTAATATCTGGAAACAATTTTGGTTGTCACAACGTGAGAGTGCTACTGGCACTGAGAGGGTGCAGGTCAAGGATATTACTGAGCACCCTTACAATGCACGAGATAACTTGTTTTGGAAACAAAACACACCTCACCATCACCACTGCCGCCGCCGCCACTTCCACCACCATTCTTTTATCAAAATACAACTGAGAAAAGTATCCAGACCATAGGAAGTAATGAGGGGATGGGATGGATGACACAGTGGTTGATGTTAACAGAAAAGGCTTTTGTGGAAGAGAAGGAATTTGTAATCATAGAAGAAGGCTGGCATTATTTAAAAGACAAACACAAAAGGATGAGAGAGATACATTTCTTTTTGAGTAAAAGAAAAAAAACTACTATCAACAAAATGCATGTAAGAGTAAGTAAGAAGTCTCAGGCTAGTTGGGACTGGAAAATCTTGCAGCAATTTAGAGAAGGAGGTCCTGAGGCTTTAAGCTAAGGCTACTGTAGCTTAACCCCGTAATATTTTGAAAGCACTTTTTCTTTAAATATTCTAATCATACACAGCATATAAACGTGTTAAGAATGATGAGTATTATGATATTTAAATAAAAAAGCACATAACCGGTTTTTTATTAATCAATAGTCCCAAATAAAATAAGACCAAGCCTCAAGCTATTGCTGAAAAAGGCTTCTAGGCAGACATTACCTTTCTGTGCCAAGTGTCTCCTCATTTTTCATCCATCTAATGGTTGGAAGAGGGAGTCCCGAAGCAACACATGGCAACACTGCACTCTGACCAACAACTCTGACTAGAGAAGAAGGTTGTTTCAAAAATACCAAGTTTGACGTGACCTCAGGATCTAAAAACAAACAAACAAACAAACAAACAAACAGATAATGATTAAGAAAGCACTTTATCACTTTAATGATAAGGAATGGCAAATTCCTATTCAGTCTGTGTGGCTTTACATTAAAAATATTTTAAGTGAAACTATCATAAGAAAATTCCATTTAAATGAGCAAACACTTCTTAAATAACTCCTACGTGCAAAACAATGTGCTAGGTTCTCTGAGGGCTTTAAAGACGTATGTTATAGCTCCTGCCTTTAAGGTACTTACTAGTTAACTGAGGGAGGTTTGACATGAATCCCGTTTACGTTAAAAGATAGGAAAAAGTAAATGCCTCCCAGCAGATATAGAGAGAGACGAGACTGAGCAAGCTCAGGATCTTTGGCATCATCCTCCCCTTTCACAGTGACATCTTAAGAGGTTTCCTTTTCTTCCCCATATCTGTGTGATACTTCTGAAAATCTTTCTGAGTTTCATCTTTAACTTGGTTCATTCACTCTGTCAATCCTTTGACTGTACAACAGTGCAACTATCAGGCTACCACTCTATGCGTGTTCACTTTATATAGTTGTTCTTTGTGAACACATGAAAAGGCCACATTCTTATGAAGATAGGGTTCTCTAAGTTGTGATAGTGTGATATTTCTAGTGTTAAGTTTTGAGGAAAAGAAAACACTGTCAGGCAAACAGAGGTGACTCCTGTCCCCACACACTTAGGAAAAGATGTCTTATAGCCATGATAACCACCGCATCTGGCTTTAAAGTTGTGCATGAAATGATGATAGTTCTGCAGCGATAGTAACAAATAAAAATTGTCTAACAGATTAGTGACAAGTCACTTCAGAGAATATGTCTTTGAGAGCCAATCCATCAGTGATAGCCACAGGCTTTAAAAGTCAGCTGGCTATTCAGCAATAGAACCACTTGCTTCAGAGTGTTATTAGCCTTCTCTCACCTTTGTAATCAACCACAAAATATACTTCTCTGACTAACATTGATCTATCAATGTCTCGTAACCAAAAAACAATGTCTTCTCAAAATTCTGTAGAAGATCCAAAGTTTGCATTATTCAAAAAGACTGTACTTCTGGAGAAAAATAAAGAAAAAAACAAATAAAGGAAAGCATATACTGTGCTCATGGAGAGGAAGGATGAAATAACTTCAATATCCACACTACCTAAAGCCTTCTATAGATTCGATGCAATTCCTACCAAAATACCAACAGAGTAGTTCACAGAGCTAAAACAAACAATCCAAATAATTACATGAAACCACAAAAGACGCTGAATAGCCACAGCAAACTTGAGAAAAAAGAACCAAGTCAGAGGGATCACCACTACTGATACCAAATTATACTACAAGGTTAGAGTAATCAAAACAGCATGGTACTGAGAACAGAAACTCAGGAATAAAAACAGGCACAGAGACCAATGGACCAGAACAGAGAGCCCAGAAATAAACCTGCGCCTATGTGGCAATTAATCTATGACAGAGAAGGCAAGTACATTCAATGAGCTAAAGACAGTCTATTCAATAAATCGTGTTGGGAAAACTGGACAGATACATGCAAAAAAAAAAAAAGAAAAAAAAAAGGAAAGAAACTAGACCACCTTCTTACATCATATATAAGAATAAACTCAAAATACATTAAAGACTTAAATGTAAGACTCAAAACCTTAAAACACCCAGAAGAAAACATAGGCAATAAAATCTCTGCCATTTCTCTTAGCAGTGTTTTTTCTGATCGATCTCCTCAGGCAAGAGAAACAAAAATAAACAAACAAACAAACCAATGGGACTACATCAATCTAAACAATTTTTGCTCAGCAGAGGAAACTATCAACAAAACAAAAAGACAACCTACTGATCAGGAGAACGTATCTGCGAATGATACATCCGATAAGGGGTTAATATCCAAAATTTATAAAGAACTCATACAACTCAACACCAAAAAACGAACAGTGCAATTAAAAAATGGGCAGAGGACCTGAACAGACACTCCTCCAAAGAGGACGTACAGATGGCCAATAGACATATGAAAAGATGATCAACAGCACTAGCCACCAGAGAAATGCAAATATTAAAACCACTATGAGATATCCCTTCACGCCTGTCAGAACGGCTACCATCAATAAACCCACAAACAACAGATGATGACAAGGATGTGGAGAAAAGGGAACCCTAGTGCACTGTTGAGGGGTATGCAGACTGGTGCACCCACTATGGAAAACAGCATGGAGGGTGGGTCCTCAAAAAATTATAAATGGAACTACCTTATGATCCAGTGATTCCACTACTGAGTATGTATCTAAGGAAACCCCAAACACTAATTTAAAACAATGTATGCACCCCTATGTTCAGTGCAGCATTATTTACAATAGCCAAGATATGTAATGAACCCAAGTGTACATCAACAGTTGAGTGAATAATAAAGTGGTGGTACATATACATACAATGGATCTTACTTGGACATCAGAAAGGATGAAATCTTACCACTGGTCGACAGCATGCATGGACCTAGACGGCATTATGCTAAGTGAAGTCAGTCAGAGAAAGAAAAATACCATATATTTCATTTGTATGTGGAATCTAAAGAACCACATAAACAAAGACTCAAAATTGAAACAGACTCATAGAGAGGAGACTGAAGGTTGTTAGAGGGGAGGGGGTTTGGGGGACTGGGTAAAAAAGGTGAAGGAATTGATTAAGTACAGATGGGTAGTTACAAATGGTCACAGGGATCTCAAGTGCAGTATAGAGAATATGAGGGGGGACCCCAAAAAACCCCGGAATTTTCTTCTGGTCGGCAGGCCCACTGTAGGACAGGATTCTCCTGCTAGGTGAGTGTTCAAGGAACCCATCTGTATCAGTGCACCAGCTGGCATTGTTGTGAGAGGCTGTGTTTGGTTCCAGTGAATTTTTTTGCATACTCTTTCAATGTCTTTGCCCACTTCATGACCGGTGATTAATGAGCACATCTGCCAACACCAAGCTGAGTGTTCAGCAGTTTTTGACCAAAAACAGCAAGACTCCTATGTATCCCCAAGCAACTGGTTTTCATTTCCCTGGATGAGAAAAGTCCTCAAAGGGAAACGTTTTGCAGATGTGGAAGAGGTGAAACAAAAAACAGCAGAAGCACTAATAGGCATCAAAACCAACGTGTTCAAAAACTGTTTTGACAGTGGAAAAAACATCTCAATAGGTGTAGTGCATCAAATGGAGAGCAGTTTGAAGGTAACTGAAAGTTTAAACATGTAAGAACACATTTTTTATAAATAAATTCCATTTTTGGGTGGTTCCTTCTTATATAGTTGATAATATTATAAAAACTATCTATGGTGCCCGGTGGGTACTGAGAATATAAGCAGGAGAACTTTGTAAAGTATATGATTGTCTAATCCCTATGCTATACATCTGAAACTAATACAAAATAATACTGAATTAAACCGTAATTGAAAATAAAATAAATATACTGCCCTTTACAGAGGGAAAAACAGTAGAATGTCAGCAATGTACTGTGGGCTACTAACATTTCAACCAAAAATAAATTATCTGTTATCTATTAATCATCACAAAAAAAAGTTCTGGGTTTTTTAATGCTTATCTAAAAAATAAACTTATTTCACATCTTACTATTATTAATGTATTGTATGTTACAAATTGGTAGTTAGAAAATAGTCATGGGGATGTAAACTACAGCATAGGGAATATAGTCAGTAATATTGTAATATGTATGTTGCCATGTAGATACTGGAAATATCGGGGTAACACTTTGTAAAGTATATGATTATCTAACCATTATGATGTACACCTAAAATTAATACAAAATAATATTGAACGTCAGCCGTAATTGAAAACTAATAATAAAAATTTTTTTTTAAAAAAAAGAAGACTGCGCTGTACAAGCACAGCTCTCCTAAGTCAACAAAACATTAAGTACTTTGTTTTTGTTGCAGATAACAAGTGGTAGCTCATCCTTTGGCACTGAGAATCTCATATTCCTTGGTTCCAGTTTAGAGGATTTGCTTGACTGTTTCCCTGGGTATAAAGTAAAACTGAACTCTGCCACATAAAGGCAAGTCAAGTAGTAGTCTGGAAGATATCACTATCTGACAATAGTTCTCTTTTTTTAACCTTGAATTATTTAGCTAGATTTAAATGAATTTTGATAGAAACAAACAAATCTGAATAATATTTCCTAGCCTCTATGTGCCAGTTACCATTCTTGGCCTAAGACAAAATTCCTTCTCCTCTTTGAATTTACATTCTAACAGGGGGAGAAACAACAAAATAAAAGATGCAGTATGTCAGAGGTGGTATGTTCTGAAATAAAATGAAGGGGAAAGGAGAAGGCACCAGGGTTAAAGGTGGGGAGGCAGGAATGGAAGATTGTTTTAATCACTGGTCAAGAACAGGCTTACTTGATAAAGTCATATTTGAGCAGAAAGGTAAGAGAGTGAGTCAGGCAGATATCTGAGGGAAGAGGATTAAAAAAAATGACAAGCAGAAAGACCCAAAAGCAAGATCATGTTTAGAGTATTTTTTTACTTAAATATTTTATTGTTTATGCTATTACAGTTGTCTCAATTTGTTCCCCCTCCACGCAGCCCATCCCCCACTTCCACAGTCAATGCCTACACCTTGTCAATGTCCGCGGGTCAAGCATACATGTTCTTTGGTTACTCCCTTCTCCCTCTTTCATCAGTCCCCACCTTCTTCCTCCCCTCTTACAGCTGTCAGTCTGTTCCATGTTTCCATGCCTCTGGTTCTATTTTGCTTATTAGTTTATTTTGTTCATTAGATTCCTCTTACAGGTGAGATCGTATGGTATTTGTCTTTCATTGACTGGCTCATTTCACTTAGCTTAATAGTCTCCAGTTCTTCCATGCTGTTGCAAAAGGTAAGAATTCCTTCTTTTTTACTGCTGTGTAGTATTCCACTGTATAAGTGCACCAGTTTTTCGATCCACTCATATACTGATGGACACTTCAGACTGTTTCCAAATCTTGGTTATTGTAAATAGTGCTGCTATGAACACTGGGGTGCCTATATTCCTTTGAATTGATGTTTCAGGATTCTTAAGCTATATTCCCAGTAGTGGAATTACTGGGTCAAAAGGCAGTTCCATTTTTAGTTTTTGGAAGAAATTCCACACTGTTTTCCACAGTGGCTGCACCAGTCTGCATTCCCCCCAACAGTGCACTAGGGTTCCCTTTTCTCCACAGCCTGAGCAGCACTTGTTGGCCATTAATGATGGCCATTCTGACTAGTGTGGGGTGATATCTCATTGTGTAGAAGTGTCTGCTGGAGTCCTTTACCAATTTTTTTATTGGACTGTTTTTTTTCCCTGGTGTTCAGTCATGAAAGTACTTAATATTTTTTGGAGATTAAACCCTTATCCAATGTATTGTTGGCAAATATATTCTCCCATACAGTGGGTTCCCTTTTCACTTTGATGGTGGAGTGTTTTAGAAATGTAAGGTGGCCACAATCACAGAGTGAGGAAGAGAAAAGTATAAAATGGAAGAAGAGAGATGGGGGAGGGAGGTGGCATGAATTTTACACATAAAGCCTTACAGGCAAAGGATGTTTAACATTTATTCTGAAATGGAGAACCACTATGAGGTTCTGAGCAAAGATGTGACATGATCTAATACACATTTTAAAAGATAACTGTGGCTGCTAAGCTGAGAATACATTGGGATAAGAATGACACGGGTAAAGATGATGATGACAAAGAAAGACACTGCATTGTAAAATATCAGTTCAAGAACCATCAGGAGCACCATCAAGAATCACTGCTCATCATCATATTAGACTCACTTTGCAAGCCAATCCACAGGCTAAAAATGAGCTTATGAAGTCATCATGTATAAAAACTGTCCACACAATGTAGGGATGGTCCAATTATATTAATAAGCTCACATAAAATAAGAAATGTGGAAAGAATCGGGAACCTAGCAGTGGGAATAGAAGCTGAAAAGTCACGAAACATTAAGAGGGTAGACTATGATGAGCTACAGGAGAGAAAATAATGAGTAAGAAGTCGCATAGTTAAGAAAAGATACATGAAACAGAATATGAGGAAAGTTGGTAGGAGCACAGAGAATGAGAAGTCACAAAGAGAAGGAAAGATGGAAAGAGGAGCTGGGTTTCATTAAAATGGGGAGCATTACAAAGATTCAGGAACTCTTGCTTACCAGTGTTTCGAGAGCTGCTGCAGTAACCACTCTGCTCGTCTCTTGTAGGAACTAGCCTGAATGAGTCTCTAATTCTTACAAGTAAAAAGACCTAACTATAAAAAGTATTCTATTATAGGGAAGTAACAGAACTCAAACATGTATCCTGTTGTGGGTAAGCCTGACCAAAAAAGCACAGAGCAATGTTTCTTTGGTCAAAAAGAATATAACAGACACTGAATATACATTATTGCTTGCTAAATTTTTCCTGAAAAATGCATTAACTAAAATACAAATACATCTCATATGTTTTCTTCTTTGTCCTCCTTAGAAGAAACTGATACTCCTTATGCCAATACTAATATGTCACATACATATTGAACAATGTTTATTAAAAAATTCTACCAGAACAAATTTTACCCATCAAAAAACATAAAACCGTTAGTCTTGGTAATAAATGAATACCTGGAAGAACTTTTAAATCAGCTTCATCACTGTACTTTGGTGGTCCACCACTTTCAACTATGCAGCGATAAAGTCCCCCATCTCCTTCAGTCGCGTTACTGATAACCAGTGTTCCACTTGGAAGTTTGATGACTCTGTTATCCAGAAGAAGAGGCTCCCTGTTCCGTTCCCATCTAACAAACGGGACCAAATCTGCATTAACTTCACAATTCAGAACTGCACTGTTCCCAGCATAAACTGAAGAAGATGTTGGTTGGCTGGCAAATCTTGGAAGACCTGGACAATAAAGGAAAAGAAATAAAATTTAGTTAAACATTACTTTAAAATGTAGTCATGGGGACCAGAAGCAAGTGAGCCCATGTGACCACATGTATGATGGAACCAGGGTCAAGAAGGAGGTTCATGAGTCAGGAAATTGGCTATATACAGGATTACAAATCAAACTAGTAAATGCACCAAGGATACTTGGAGTCAGATTCTTCACAGTCAGAGAAGGATGACACAAATACAGAAAAACAGAAGAGCTGGAGGAATCTCATAGTATTGGGCTAGAGCAGAGGTATCAGTGTAAACTTATGGTTTTATATAACTATAGATATACAAATATAAATAGATGTATTTTTCATATACATGTATGTTCACTTGTTCAGAGTCCAGAATCAATGTCACTCCAGTGGCAATGAGTATATATGGCGAGTCAATCTTGATTTCTAAACCATTATCCAGCACAAGAAACCAATGTTTCCTGGAGAAATGGCTAATTCTAGGATTGGAATTGGGAAAGTACAAGGTGAGCCTGGAATGTCTTGTGACAGAAAGGAAGGAAGTATTCAAAGAACAGTATGAATGAATCAAAAGGATACAAAAGTCAGATTAAGGGAAGTTTTTCCTTTGGCTAAATCTGGGATGATGAATCATAAATGGATGCTAAAGCTGGTAGGTAAAAGTTGGATAAGAAATAGGAGAGTTATAGAGTATCAAATTATCTCTTCCCAAAACTAATAAAAGTACGAACTACTTATTAACAGTGGAGAAACATAACATAGACTACCTTAACTAAAAATAAAAGTTAACATCACCAGTAATGGAACATAATATGCTTCCTGATGTGATGCACCAAGAACAGAGCATTGCTATGATACTCCTTCTCAAAGATACAAAACGTGAATCTATTCATAGAGGAAAATCAGAACACCCAAAATGAGACAAGGAAAAAGAAGAACGGTTTGAAATTGAAAGAGCCTAAAGAGATAACTAACTACTAAGAAAAACATGTAATCCTGAATCAGAAAGGAAAGGAAGGGGAGGAAGATGGGGAATAAGTTTCTGCTTTTGTGTTTTTCTTTTTCTTTCTTTCTTTTTTTTTTTTTTGCTATTAAAAACAAGATAAGTAGTGAAATCCAAATGGCATCCATGGATGAAATGATAGTATTAAGGTTAATTTCCTGAAATTGATGGATTGTTATCTAGGAGAATGTCCTTATTTTTAGAAAATATACACAGAAGTATTTAGATACCCTCTGCAGTTTACTCTTAATAGTTCAGAAACATTTTATTTGGGTATGTGCATATTTGGAGGGGTGTGATAAGGCAGATATGGTGAAATGTTAACAATCAAGTAATCTGAGTGAAGACTATATAGGATTTTTTGGTTTCATTCTTGCGATGATTCCCCATGTTTGAAATTGCTTAGAAATAAAATATTAACCAAAAAATGCCATCATAAATACTCTATACATGCCACAGAATGCAACGGTTGAGAGTGTGAGTTCTGGAGTCACGTCATCTGCATTTGAATCCCAGCTCCAGCACTTCATTCATGACTGTGTAATGTTGGTAAGTTACTTCACCTCTAAGCCTCAGTTTCTTCATTAGTAAAATGAGAACAGTTAACAGGCCTCAGAGTTGTTAAAAAGGTGAAACACTTAATACTTAAAAAAATTCATGTATAGCCAGCATACTGCCTGGCACATAAATACTCAACAAATATAGCTACTATTATTAAAATTAATATCTAAGAAGTGACTCTGACATCCTCAGAACACAACAAAATGTTTCTTTTAAGAATAACAAACAAATCATTAGAAACAACTACTTTATGATGGTTAATTAGTCCATACGTATGTATACACATTTACAGGTTATTCAGCTGTGCTACAAATTATTTTATTTTTTTGTTTCAAAGGGATTTTTGAAGAAAAGAAATAAAGATAAAATTAACAAAATATATGCTTTTTAGAAACCAGAAAATTAAAAGAAAGGAAATAACAAAAACAAACACAGACACTAACAAAGGGGATAAAAGGAATCTGGAATAAAACCAAGAGCTAGTTCTATTTATTAAAAAGTCAAAAAATACTTCCTACTTAAGTCTCATTAAAATGAGTAATTTTAAAAAACATAAACCCCACAACAACATCTGGGGGGTCAGCAGACAGAAATTTCGAAAAGGTTCTGAACAGAGAAAGCAGACGTAGGAACTAATAACTGACATCAAGGCAGAAAATGCTGCAGCTTCCCTGCTCAAAGCAGGAGGCCAGTTTGTCTTGCTGCCTCAGAAGAATTGTAGGAGAAAAGAGAGTTGGAGTGGGGCTGCCAAGAAAAGATTAACGATGTCTATATTCAGACCACCCAACGCCTCATCTTTCAGCTCAAAACACTCACAGTCAGGGTACTGCCCAGGCAGTAAAACAAAATTTTCTGCTGTGGAGAAATGAGACAGCCCAGAGAAAAAGACCCCTCATATTTAATTCTATGACCTATCTACACAGTGTTCTTTCAGAAATTCCTCTTCTTGCTTGACTGGCCAGGATCAGTTTCTATCGCTTGCAATCAAAGACCTTTAACCAACAGTCTTTTAGGATGGCAATTTGGCTGCATCCTTTAAAAAAAAAGTTTTATTGAGATACATTTTATCCAGCATAAAGGTTACCACCTAAAGTACACAATTCAATGGTTTTAGTATATGCACCCAGTTCTGCAACAATCACCATAATCTAATTTTAGAACATTTTCATCATACCCCGCCCCCGCAAAAACCTAGTACTCCCTTGCAGTCATTCCCCATTTCTACTCTCTCTCTACCCTCTATATCCTTATCTTCCCTCATTCTCAGCCCTAGAAAACCACCAATCTTTCTTTTGGCTATCTCTACTTGCCTATTCTGGATTTCACATATGTGAAATCATAAAATGTGTAGTGTTTGGTGACTGGCTTCTTTAAGTAAGCATAATGTTTTTAAGACATCTGTATTGCAGTATATATCAGAACTTCATTTCTCTTTATTGCCAAATACTATTCCACATATGAATATACCACATTTTGGTTATCTACTCTTCACTTGATAGACATGGTCACTGTTTCCACTTTCTGGCTATCATTAACAATGCTGCTATGAACATTCATGTACGAATTGTTGTGTGAACATCTCTTTTCATATCTCTTGGGTATCAAGATACCTAGAAATGGAACTGCTCAGTCATATGGTAACTCTATGGTTAATATTTTGAGGAAATGTGAAATGGTTCACTGCTACCTTTTTGAATCTCACACACACACACACACACACACACACACACACACACATACACACACACACAGTATACCCTATGATACAGCAATTAGCAGAATTACTATGTCTAGTAATCTATTCCACAGAAATAAAGATTTGTACAAGGTTGTTCATTATAGTATTGCCTACAACCTCAGTCTTTATCTATGTAACTGTTCATCAAAAAGGGGATCTTTAGATAATTCACGGTATATCTAAAAATGAATATGATGTAACTACTAACAAGAACTTCTATACATCTCTTAGCATAGATATTACTTCCCCAATACCCAGGCCAAAGAATTTATCATCTTGTATTAAAAGTGACTGTTCACTTAAACATTAGGTCAAAAAATGTTTCCTGAAAGATGCAAAAGTTAAAAGGAAAAATGGAAAACCTAGCAGAAAAGAAGAAAGAGAGGAAAAGGTGGAGGACAGCATTATTAGGCAGTGCGGAAGCCATGAGCAAAAGCCAGAGGCAGAGAAGGAAAGGGGACTGAAAACATTCAGCACTGCCAAAACTTAAACTGTGGGATGGTGGTGATGGGGGGAGAGGGCAGAATGAAGTGATAAGAAATAGAGCTGGAGAAGTGAAGGCCAGATCATGAAAGGACCGAAGAGGCCCCAAAGAGTTAGGATATTAACCTCACGCTGTTACTGGAGAGTCACTGATGGGTGAAAAACAGAGCTCATCACCACAGTGTGGGGATGGACTGGAGGAGGAAAAGGATGAGGCGGCAGACAGTGACAAGGCTGTGGTGAGGGATGATGCGCAGCCTCAGGAAGGAGAAAGTGAATGAAGTACAGAGAAACTGGGAAGCCAGAGTCCACTGGATTTGGTGATTGGATGTGGGCTACAGCTGAAAGGAAGCAGTTCTGATATATACTACAAAAATAATAAAGTTTAAGAACATAAATGATAAACAAGAGCTGACCTAAGTGACATTACAGGGGCAGTCACGATGTTAACTTATTTATCAACAAGTTGGAGAAAGCCTGGCAAATAGATTTTAAAAATAAGAAGAAAAGATAGATTGTCTCAAGAACTGACTTTTCAAAAAATTTTTCCATCCTCAAATCTGTAATTATGGAATAACTACAGTAACCTTACATCATATTCAAGTACGACTTTGAGTATTTTGCTCCAAAGAGGAAAGGAGCCATCATACTCTGAATGAATGAGCAAATACACCCTGGAGTCAGCACAAGATGGGGAGCCATGACCTGAGGTGGGAACGAGATGTGAAACTAGTCTCAGCTGTATTTTTTTCACATGTTAGCATTTCACCTAGGTGACTGACTATAAAGATAAGACTTAAAGATAATACAATTTTCATATAATGTGAAACTTAACAAAAACCAAGTATTTGATCTGTAACAGGCAAAGAAACCCTGATTTGAGAAATTCCAGTGTCTACCACAAAACAGGCATGACCTGTGTAGGAACCACATCTTACTCTTCTAAGGTCTTGATTTTTCTTACATTTTCCATCATTCTTCAAATGAGAATGCTCTAAAGTAAATGCTTCTTTCCTTAAAACTTTCTGTTCTTCACCTTAACGTATATAGCCTACAGAGTTTTAAATAATTTATCCAATTAAATGTCTTTTCCTTGGTTAAGGCATGATTCTGGCTATACTTTCAGTTTTATAAAGCCATACTAAATGGTTATGCTGAATAGGATAAAAATTAGCAACTAAGGTGACTCAATTTTCCTACACATCTTCCTCTGCCATTCCCAAGTTACAAAGGAAATAAAGAACTGGTTCAGGACTTCTAATAGCAACCTTAAGCCATCTAAATCATTTGAAAGTGGGGAAATGCTATAGCTTATTCCCTACAGTACTGAGCAAGTCCTACATAGCACATGGTCAATTGATACTTGTTAAGTAAATGTATCATCTGCTGTTACCAGTTAAATGAAAAGTCTAGGATAATACTGTTTTATTAAAATTTACCATTTATAAAACTTTGAAAATACAAATAAGTTACTTAACAAAACTTACCTGCTACTGTGAGCTTGGCTGTTCTACTGACAATAGTTCCAAGACTATCAACAGTGGCCACACACTGATAATAGCCTTCATCAGGTTTATTGTGTTTCGAATGCACCACGTTGCTGATAAATAAAGACCCATCTGAGAGAAGCTGGCGACGATCATCTGATACTAAGTTTAAAAATGTTCCATCTTTTTTCCATTCAATTTTTGGAGAAGGCTCTGAATAGGCTGAACAGTTTAATACAACAGAAGAGCCTCTAATTGACAGTGTATCCATTGGCTCCACCAGAAAATAAAATGGAGTGAATGTTCGAATGCTGGGTCCTACAAAAATAACAAAGAAAAAGAACAAAGTTATCCAAAACTTTCTTCTATTATTTCTGTAAAAAAAATACATATTATGTCCAAAAATTATTTATAAATAGTTATGCTTTTCAGGTATGATACATAAATAGTTATTTTACTATGAATATCTAATAAATAAAATTTATTTTTTACTAGGAGATCGAAATTTGACCCATTTAGAAGAATATTAGAGGAATGATCCACAGTGGTGCCAGAGAAGCTGAATGTTACACTCCTCTCCTTCTACATCCAAACTGAAATTACAACTAAACTTTAGAACAATCAAACTGAATAACCAACTGAAGACTAGCTGGACAGAAGTCTTACAGCCAAGGATTTACAGAAGAAGCCACACCAAGACTGGTAGGAAAGGCAGGGTTTCAAAAAGGGCTGACCATTTCAGCTGCAAAAGTCGCCCGTGAGGAGTGAGGTGTCTCAACCCCATGCCGGGTTCCCCAGCCCAGAGTACCAGAGCACCACAGCTGCAAAGAGGAGCCCACGTAACATATGGCTGTGAAAATCAGCAGGGATTACATATGGCTGTGAAAATCAGCAGGGATTATGTCCACCAAGGGAAGATAGGACTCTGCTAGAAACCCAAGTACCCTCTTAAGAGAACCAGGGCAATAATTCTTGTTCACAGCCACTCACACTGGGTTTCAGCAGAAGGATGGCGGATTGGGCAGATTAGAGTCCTACCAGGAGAGACTGGGTTGTGTGACTCCAGGGAGAGAGCTGATGGGACAGCCGCAGGGTCCTTGTGCTGAGTCCCTCTCCCACACTGCCTACAGATTCCGTCTTTCCTGGATCTAGCACTCTTACACAGCACTAACCTGGGGATATCCACTGACCCCACACTTCTGACTCCCTGTCATCCTGCACTGCCAAGTTCACACCCTGCAGAAGAGTCAGCTGGCTGTGGCCTATGGTGAAGACTTTCTTGAAAGACTCTTGAGGAGGCCCAGGCAGACTAGAAGAGAGGTTGAGTTGTATGGGTCTAAAGCAGGGTGCCTTTTCTCCTTGCACGTCTGATGGATGTCACTGTTCTTATGCAAAACCCTCCCTTCACATGACTAAATCTTGATCTTTTGGTGCCTGATGAATTCTGCTGCCCTCACCCAAGTAACTCCAAGACCCTGCCCACCACAAAGGTCCATGGGCAACCAATGGGTGGTGGCTGGCCTTGGTATATCCTGAGACTTTTGCTGAGTGGCCTCAGATCCAGCAATTGTATCAAAGTTAAATCTGTTATCAATCTAGTGAATATCACACTCACTCATACCTGGTGGCTCACTGAGACCTACCTCTCACAATTCACATACCACCAGAGGCCCTTTCAGTGACTGAGCCTAATGGGCAGCCAGCAAACGAAGGCTAATCTGAGTGCCTTGGCCTTCTGCTGACCTCCCCCAGGCTCTGTGCTGGTGGAAGAAAACCTTTGTATGCAGTTTGGTCCCTTTTATGCACACCCAGGCCCAGCCGAGGCTGCCACAAACTGCAGACTGCATTATAGCTCCAAACAGGTGGCCCAGGGCAAGTTGCAATCAGTGCCTGGCACTGACCTGCACCTGAGGCCCTCCCCAGAGTTTTCAGGACCAAACACCCACTGGTAGGCTTCAGACCACATCAGAGCATGATCCAATTAACTCTGCAAGCGGTATACATAAAGATCTCAGCAGGTGCCAGGCACTGCTGGGGCCAAGTCCATTTTGTGAGGTCAGCCCCTGTACAGAAGCTTGTACAAAGCGGTAGGAGTCAATCCTCACAGTCAGCCAGCCCAGGACAAACTATACCAAAGAATAAGCCAAGAGCAATCAAGACTAAAACTACAACAGGAGCACTCACATAACCCACACAAAAGACATTTCTGGAGCATTGTGCTTGTGTGAACAGAGAGACTGCACCACTGAGGACCACTGGACACTTACTACGTAAGGTCTCCATACCAAGACTGGAAAGCATAGCAGATCTACCTAATATACAAAAACTAATTCAGAGAGGCAGATAAAATGGGGAGACAAACGAACATATTGCAAATAAAAAAAGAAAAGATAAATCTCCAGAAAAAATATCTAATTAAAACTGGCAAGCAATATACCAGACACAGAGTTAAAAACAATGGTTATAAGGATGCTCAAGAAGCATAGGCAAAGAATAGATGAACTCAGTGAGAACAGAAACAAGGAGATAGTACCCATAAAAAATTATATAAATAAACCTTAAAAAAGAGCAAGAAATAAAGAACACAATTATCTGAAATGAAGAACTCACTAGAATGAATAAACAGCAGGTTAGATGAAACGGAGGATCAAATCAACGATTTGGAAGACAAGATAGCAGAAAACACCCAATCAGGGCAGCAAAAAGAAAAGGAATTTTAAAAAATGAGGAAAGTCTAAGGGCCTCTGGGACAACAGGAACCATTACAACATATGCCTAACAGGGGTACCAAAAGGAAAAGACAGAGCAAGAGATTGAGTACCTATAATTACTGAAATAATTACTGAAAACTACACTAACCTGGTAAAGAAGAAAGACACAAGTCCAGGAAACACAGGAAATCCTAAACAAGATGAACCCAAAGAGGCCACACCAAGACACATCATATTTAAAATAGCAAAGGTTAAAGGTAAAGAGGAAAAAAGAAAAGCTTAAAAACAACAAGAAAAGAGTTACCTACAAAGGGAGCTCTCATAAGAATGTCAGCTGATTTCTCAACAAAAACATTTTATGCCAGAAAGGACCTGCATCAAAAATTTCAAGTGATGGAAGCCAAGAACATATGATTAAGATTATTCTACCCGGTAAAGCCATCATTTAAAATTTTAGGAGAAATAAAGAGCTTCCCAGACAATAAAAAGCTAAAGGAGTTCATCACCAACAAACCAGTATTGCAAGAACCATTAAAGGGACTTCTTGAAAAAGAAGAAAGAGGAGAAGGAGGAAGGAGGGAAGAAGAGGGGAGGGAAGGAACATAATTATAAAGAATAAAATGGCAATAAACACATACCTATCAATAATCACCTTAAATGAAAATTAAATGGTCCAATCAAAGTACCTATAGGGTAGCTTCATGTATTAAAAAAACACACACACTAAAAACAAGACTCATATATATGCTGACTACAAAAGTGAACCTCACAGCAAAAGATAAAGGACTGGAAAAGATATTTCATACAAAGGGAAATGAAGAAGAAGCTGGCATAGCAAAACCTATAACAGACAGAACAGACTTTAAAACAAAGGCTATATAATAAGAGAGAAAGGAGGTGATACATAATGATAAAGGAATAAATCCAAGAGGATTGTTGCAAGAGGATAAACCTTGCAAACATTTATGCACACAACATAAAAGAATCTAAGTATATAAAGTAAATGTTGATGAATATAAAGGGAGAAATCAACAATAATACAGTCATAGCAGGGGATTTTATCTCCCCCTTGACATCAACAGATAAATCTTCCAGACAGAAAATCAACAAGGACACAGTGGCCTTAAATGAAACACTAGACTAGAAAGATTTAATTGATTATCTTCAGAGCACTTCTCCTCAAAGCAGCATTATATACATTCTTGTCAAGTGCATCACATGAAGCATTTTCCAGGACAGACCACACGTTAGGACACAAAACAAGTCTCAATAAATTTAAGAAGACTGAATCATTTCAAGCATCTTCTTTGACCACAATAGTATGAAACTACAAATCAATTACAAGAAAAAGAACTGAACACAAAAACAAATGGAGACTAAATCACATGTTACTAAACAATGAATGGGTTAACAATGAGATCAGGAATAAACAAACAGATAACCTAAGACAAGTGAAAATAGAACCAAAATAAAAATACAAAAAAAATAAATAAATCCAAGATCTGATTCTTTGAAATAGTAAACAAAATTGAAAAATTTTTATCTAGAGTTATCAAGAATAAGAGAGAACACCCAAATAAATAAAATCAGAAATGAAAGAGAAGTAACAACAGCAAAGAAATACACCAAAAAAATTATATGACAATATTACAACTACATGCCAATAAAGTGAACAATCTGGAAGGAAAGGATAAATTTGAATAAATATACAATCATCCAAAACTTTCAAAATCATAAAGTAACAGAAAATCTGAACAGACTGATTATAACTAACCAAACTGAAACCATAATAAAAAATTCCCAAGAAACAGAAGTCCTGGACCCAGCAGTGTCACAGATTAATTTTACCAAATATTCAGAGAACACCTATCCTTCTCAAACTATTCACAAAAAAACAGGAGGAGGAAAGACTCCCAAGCTCATTCTACAAGGCCAGCATTATCCTGACTGCAAAACCAGGTAAGGACATTACAAAGAAAGAAGGCAACATGCCTGATGAACATACATGCAAAAGTCTTCAACAAAATATTAATAAACCAAATTCAGCAATACATTAAAAAAAATCATACACAATGATCAAGTGAGACTTAATACTGGGATACAAGAATGGTTCAACATCTGTAAATCCATTAACATGATAAAGAAAAGCATGATAAACCATATAAACAAAACAAAAGCTAAAAATCTTATTATATCAATAGATGCAGAAATTGCATTTTACAAAATCCAACACCCATTTATGATAACAACTCTCAGCAAAACAGGAAGAGGGAACATATCCTCAACATAATGAAGACAATATAAGCAAACCCACAACCAATATCATACTCAACAAGGCAGGATAAAAACATTTCCCTTAAGATCAGGAGCAAGACAGAGATATCCACTTTCTCCACTCTTATTCAACAACAAAGCTGGAGGTATCACACCACTTAATATCAAATTATACTACAAGGCTAGAGTAATCAAAACAGCATGGTACTGGCATAAAAACAGGCATAGAGACCAATGGACCAGAACAGAGAGCCCAGAAATAAACCTGCGCCTATGTGGCAATTAATCTATGACAGAGAAGGCAAGTACATTCAATGAGCTAAAGACAGTCTA